GCCCAAAGCTCAGCACGATGGGAACGCACAGAGAGGTGGTCGGAGGGTCGCGGATACATTCAAAGCGTTTTTTACTGTGGGAGGGCCTAAACGACTTGCGCCGCCACTGGAAGCCAGTGACCGTGTTGGAGAGACCATCGTATGGGATATGTATAGTGGCGACGTTGGGCTTAAATGCGGATCTCTCGTGAATTGGCCAAATTGTGAGCACGAGGCCCCTCAGGTATCATCATAACTATGCATCGTCATTTTCAATTCAGAAATTTCAGGGACAGGGCACTTTGGATAGATTTTTGACTGAAGCGCCACCGGACTCCGTCGTGCTCTCCATACCAGGCGAGAAAGAGCTACTGGACAGCCAAACTGTCATCGTCCTTTTGAAGTTTGATCACATAAAAAGAAAAGAGGAGGCAGAGTATTTTTCACGGGAATTCAGCTATGTGCAATTCGACGCCAAGAGGAACAAGTACTTTGCTCCCGAAAAACTCCAAATAACAAGGGAAAAACAGGAATGGCTTTCCGCAAGGGCAAAAGATATTGTGGTCTTCACAACATCGATGTCTGAAAGTATAGCACTTCCACTAATTCGATTGAAACACCTTTTCTCTCATTATGATACTCCCGTGATTCAGGTTTTAAATCCGGATTTCTTATGGCTCAAAAGAGGTGAATCTATTTCTCTTTGCCCTGACGGTCATTTTGCTGTGACGAAACAGACGCCGGGAACCGATAATATCTGCGAAAATCACGATGAACGTATGCTGACCATATTATTCGAAGACATTTGCCGACACGAAGAGCCAATGTCGCAAATTCAGTGTCTCATGAAGATATGCCGATGGATATGGAGGAGATGTATGAACCACATTTTGAAGCGGTTATGGATAGCGATGTCGACTTAGTGTCAACTTCAGATCAGGTAGCTGGACATCCTTCACTTCAGGCTTTTTGCAGAACTTTTACTCGCAAGCAAGATAAACAACAACTCACTTTGGAAAGAATTTTGAAAGGGGAGGAACGACTGCAAGAAGGTGTCTGTACTCTAGATGCAAGAATGAAACAAGTACAGAATGAAATGATCGTTCAAGAGGAACTGCGAAAAGCAGCTTCAAAGTACTCCACTCTACAACTAGAAAGCAAGTTTGGCCTGGATGCAGACCATGAACTTGAGAAGAAACTCGAGCAGCTGGAAAGCATAGGCATCAAATTTACAGAGAAACACAAAAGTTGGCTTTTGAACTTGCCTTGGTTGCAATTAATCCTAGACACATCAAATTTGGCAAATTCATTTATACGGTGCAAACTCTGCAACAGAGAAGCTAGGCCGAAAGAAGACGCTTTTTGGTTCCGCCATTGCTCGACTATTGAGCCCTGTCCCGATGAGAAATGTGTAAATCTGATGGGAGCAGGAAGTGTTTTGTGTATCAAACGAGTATCAAATTATTATCGCGGCTGGGGTGCCGGTATCGTTCGCGCCATCGGGCGCCACCCCAATTCCAAAGAGCACGGTGAGGGATTAAAGATTTTTCACATGGCGGTTGGAGCTCAAGAGCAACAAAATCAAGAACTTGCGGTAAAAGCCACCATAACAGCAACAGTGGGAGCCTACACTATAGCTAAGCAGGGTCTTCCTTTGACTTCGCAGTTTCCCCTAATGATGTTTGCACTGAGAGCGGGAGCGGTTGTTGGTAGTGCTCACTACGAAGCCACAACCGCGAAACGAATGATAAAAACTTTTGCAGTGCACATTGAATACGAACTGTTCAGTTATCTGATAGCAAATGACCTCCCATTTTCCATACTAATGGATGGATCATCATCCTCGAGAGGGACGAAGTGGATGGCGTATATGATTCGCACTATAACTCCCTCATTTGAACCATACACTTTCCACTTTCTCATCGCCGAAATATCGCGCGAAACAGGTCAGATTATAACGGACGTTCTACTCTCACATCTTAACGACCTGGACTCTTGGGTTACATCTCCCGGTCTCAGGATCTCACCACATGAACATGCTATGAAACGACTAGTTGCTATCACCACTGATGGAGCGGCTACGATGACCGGTCGTGATGAAGGTGTTTTCGGTAGGCTTCAAAGTTACATCAAATCGAGAAGCTCATCTCCAGTAAGAACTGAACTGCTCTTATCTGTGTGCGCTGCCCATAAACTGAATATTGCAATGAAAAACGCAAAACACATTGCTTACACGCTTGCCAGAGCACTTATAATGGAGATGCACACAATTTTTGGGTCTCCACAGTCATCATCCGCAAGGCGACATTACAAGGACACAGCACGTTTGATGTCGTTTACGGATCTACAGATGGGCCAATTTTTTGCAATTCGATGGTCGGACAGCTTCAGCAAAGGGCTAAGTAACATTATTCGTATGTGGCCTGTATTAATCGAAAGCTTGGATAAAGTGGACAGCGACAGGAGCATTTCTGAAAATCTACGTGTCAGGGCGAAATGCGCTTCCTGGGTAATGCGGGATGGACGCGTATTCCTTATGATGAAGCATGTCTTAAATGCTCTTCGCAAAGTCTCCTCTCTATCGCTGTTCTTCCAAAATACTGACAGTATGGCCATAGATGCAATAGAAGCTGCTCGTGGTGCTGCACAATCGCTGTTAGACGGGTCACTGAAAAATGATCTACATCAGGAACTGATGGCATACAAATCTGTAATAAATGTTTATGATGGAAAACACCTAAAACGAGTGGACGAGTATTTTCTGACGAAGTATTATGAAAAATTAGAAGATAGTCAAAAAAA